ACAATAAAGTCCATGTTGAACTTGATATTGGAAATATACATATAAGAATTTTTTAACATCATCCCATTGTAAAATTGAATAACTAACTCTAAAAGGTAATTATTTAATTAGTGACACATGTTTGTAGTATGTAATAATTACAAAGTGATAAGAAAACACCCAAACCCATTAGAGAAAAGAAGAAATTTATTTGGCTCAAAGACTTTGTTACAAATTAAGGGGTGTTTTTAGCTATTTTAGTCATTTATGTTTTAGGTCCTTTTATTGAAAGATGGACCACGACCCAGTTAAGGGAGGAAAACTCTACTATATATTGTATGTATGCTTTTATGAGAAGTATGAAGAAAGTTGTTTTATGATTTTTATCTCTTATGTAACAAAAGATCTAGTGCAGCTTAGCATAAATTTATCATTGATGCTTTCTCCCTTGACCTCAAACCTTCCCTTCCATAGCCTCATGGCTCCCTTGAAACCCTCTAACCCTTCATCTCTAGAACTCATGGAAGAGGCAGTTTAAACATTCGTTCAAACTGCTCAGCTGCATCTGAATAATGCCTTACGGGAAACTCAGATTCCACTTGATGAAAGTTTTAATCAAACTGCTCAATTCGCAGCAACTTTATAGCAGCAGTTGGCCTAAATCGCTATGAGAATGGACAATGAGACCCAAATCTCAAACTCCTGTTACGACTCTTTCATGTCTCTACTCTCTAAATTTGCTATCCAACAAGAAACCTCATTGGCTACTGCTCAATCAACTCCCAGTTCATCAGGTTTAACACATAATGTTTCCTCTATTCCTATGATGACCACCACGGTTCCTCTTGTGATAACTCCTGCTCACACTCCACCATGAAACTCAGCCATTTTTTCCAAAATCCCACCACACATTACTGTCTCGGCTCCTTTTTGAAAAACTCCCACCCAACCACCACCTTTTCCTCTATACCCTATGATTTTTCCAACCCCACCTCCGTACAATACTTTGTTACCCACCCAACTGCCATATGCTAATTTTCCTCACATTCCTCCCTTACCCCCTTTTCGCACCCCTGAGTTAGAACTACCCTTATTCGATGGTTCAAATCCCCTTGAGTGGTTATTTCAAGATGATCAATTTTTTAGTTTTTATTACCATCCTCCCGAAAAAAGATTATCCTTAGTTTCATTTTACATGAAAGGGGACGCATTATGCTGGTTCAAATGGTTACAACAAAATCAGCTATTAACGGATTGGGTCTCCTTACACAGGCTTTAGAATTGTGTTTTGGCCCATCTTCCTATAAGAACCACCAAGCTAAACTATTTAAACTCAAACAGGATGGCTTAGTTATGGACTATCAAGCAAAGTTTGAAAATCTAGGAAACCAGGTTGTTGGGTTACCTCAAGATGCCATTCTGAATTGTTTTATCTCAGGATTATCCTTGGAAATTAGAAACAAATTGGCTATTCTTTGGCCCACCTCAATTTCTCAAGCCATTAGACTTGCAAAATTTATTGAATCTAAACTCAAAGAGGAAAAAACTAAATTCTCCAAAACTTTTCAAACCCAGTATCAAAAGCCCAACACATCATCTCATAACACTAATCCTTTCAAAACCCCAGCCCCTAACAAACCCACAACCATAAACTATCCCCAAGACCGTTCAACCTTCCCTTCTGAAATTACTAATTTGAAGGCTTACTCAAGCTCAATTGCAATAACAATGATCACAAGGGTTATGTTTCAATTGTGATGAGAAATTCATCACCGGTCATAAGTGCTCCACTAATCGTTTTTTAATCCTATTGGCTGAAGATGGTCCGATCATGGATCTCATTAATAAGGAGGAGACTAGTATAGTGCAGGATTATGAACTTGATTTAAGAGATACCTACTTTCAATTGTCTCCCCAGACTTTAACTGACCAATTCTCTCCCTAAACACTTAAGTTTGAAGGTGTCATTATGGGACTGCCGACTATGGTACTTGTTGACACCGACAACACACATAATACTATGGAGCCATGAATGGCACATCATCTCAATTTACCAACTACTCCAATAACTGAATTCTCAGTTATGGTGAGTAGTGGTTCCCATTTGCAATGTGAAGGTATTCGCAATAACGTTCAATTAGTTTTACAAAACAAATCTTTCAATCTACCATTTTACTTGCTTCCAATTGAAGGTGCAAATGTTGTTTTGGACATGGCATGGCTTAGGACCTTGGGACCCATAAAAGCTAACATTTCCATCACTTACATTACTTTTAAACACCAAAATTTACCCGTTACCTTAACTGGTGACCCCAAAACCCACCCTACCCAAACCACTTTTCATCAATTACGCCACCTTCTCCACACCGACTCTATCGCCTCCCTCCACTTGATGATCATGCAATCGTGTGAACCTAACCTTGACTTACATGAACATATTATGACTTCTCCCAACACCTCCCCTCAAACCTTACACCCTCACATTACCAAACTATTACGCCAATACCAACCAATTTTTCAGAACACTACTGGACTCCCTCCAAAGAGACCCTATGACCACTATATTAACCTCCTACCCAACACTTCCCTATCAATGTAAAACCTTATCGCTATCCTCATTCACAAAAATATGTTATGACTTCCCTTATATAGGAAATGTTGCAAGAAGGCATAATCATCCCTAGCAGCAACCTATTTTCGTCCCATTTACTCCTTGTTAAAAAGAAGGATGGGACATGGCATTTTTATGTTGATTACCGAGCCTTAAACACAGTCATAATCAAATACCATTTCCCTATCCCTACCATCGATGAATTGTTAGACGAATCACATTCCGCCGCCATTTTTACCAAGATTGATTTACGCTCTGGCTACCACCAGACCTGGTTTGCATTGGAAGATACGCATAAGACAACTTTTAGAACATTTGACGGACACTATGAGTTTCTGGTTATGCCCTTCGGACTTTCTAACGCCCCTTCTACTTTTCAGTATGCTATGAACGATTTATTACGACCTTATTTACGCAAATTCATTTTAGTTTTTTTATGACATTCTTATTTACAACCCTACTCTTCAAGATCACATAATTCATTTGCAGGTGGTGTTGGATTTGTTACAATCAAATGCATTTATTGTGAAGTTTTCTAAGTGCGTGTTTGCTATTAACCAAATTGGTTATTTAGGATATGTGATTTCCGTTGAAGGTGTGTTGCACCCCAAAATTCGCCCTCTCTATTTTAATCCTAATTGGCTTATACTTCATTGTCATATGCATACATACATGTCATTCGGTCCATACTCATGAAATCGAGGCATTTCTTTGCAAGAAAGAGTTGTGAAATTGACTATTCCGTTAAACAGCACTATGAAGCAGAACTCGGGGTTCTCCGTATTTTAATGCACCCCGAATGTTGTTCCAAGAAATCCAATTAATAACCAAGTAAGTCATAATAATATCAAGCTCTTATGCTTCCAACACGGTTTGAATTGTGTAGAAAATCAGGCGTTTCATTTGATTTGAGATAGTGCAGTCTGAAATTCAGTATCATGCGTTTCAATCTCGGAAATTCACAACTTGAGATTAGAAATTGGTTTGGGAACGATTCTTCAGTCTTTAGAATCGTCTCAAGGTCTTCTTCATTTCATCAGTTCATGTCGAAGGCTAATTCTGTGAGGAAGATTTTCTAAAACGCCAAATACTTGAAATGTGTTATATAGTGGATTTACCGTTTCTCTGGTTTTTGGATGTTTAAAAATTCGTAACTTCTGACTAGAAAATCATCTTTGAATTCCTCTTAGATCCTTTGAACCGTCTTTTTATTTCCTTCAACTTTTGTGTTCGACTCAGAAGCTAATTCATTGAGGAAGATCTCTGAATGCGCGAATACTTTGAAGCTAAACAACACAAAAACGGTGAAAATAGTGTGTTGAACCGCTATTTTTCAGGCGTTCAAAAATTCATAACTTTTGTCAGGTTCAATGTTTTCAGGTGGTTCTTTGGGTGAAAAATCCATCTTGATTTTATCTTCGATCTGTATGTTCGGGTCAGGAGCTAATTCTTTGCAGAAGATTTCCAAAATTGCCAATTACCAGAGAAAATTACACGCGGAATTGGTTTTCTAACAGACTATTTTCAGATATTATAAAAATCGTAACTCTCTCGATTTTTATCGTATCGGGACGATTCTTGAAGCGTGAGTTCAAAATTTTTGTAAGCTTTAACTTTGCTTCAGGGCTCGAGTTCAGATTGTACTCCGAAGACTTCGGTTTATGGCTCGCATCTGAAAGTGCGCACGAAAATAAGTCGAAATTGTTCAATACGGTGAATATTTTCCACTGTTTCTCACCATTCTAAAAACCATAACTTGTTCGATTTTTGTCGTATCGGGGTGATTCTTTCGGCACTACGTTACGAATTTTGTCATCTTCGACTTTGCTTCAAGCCCCGAGCCCAGATTTTGCACCGAGAGGCATGACCTTGTGGTTTGTTTGCGCGCTGTACACTGAATAAGCTGTAAAATTCTGCATTGTGATATTTTTTTCACCCCTTCTCATCGCTCAGAGCAACGTAACTTGCTCGATTTTTATCGTATCGAGACGGTTCTTTTGGTGACGCGTCACAATTTTCGTCATCGACATCTTTACTTCAAGTTCTGTGTCAAAATTCCGTGTTGGTTTTCATCTCCTCAGAGGTTTTGTGTTGATTGCGCTTTGTATCAGTTCAAATTTCAAGTTTGGAGCCAAAAATATATATTTAAATCTCAAATATCAAACACAATTACACACACTTTTTCATTTCCCCAAAGTCAAAACAGAAACCCTCTCTCTTTTTCTCTCAAGTTTTCTTCATCTTTCATCGAGAACAACTCAACATAAACTCACAAGAACACATAAAATCTTGAATAATCTTCATCTTCTTCAACTGAATTTCCGCAAGCAATCTCCAATACTCCCTCCAATTCCGTGTCGCCGGTCAAATCTTCCTCTCTACGAACTCAGCCGCGATTTCACGACCATTTATGCTCCTCTGTCTTTGCCGCAAGTTTCTGGTGGATCTCCTTCGTGTTCGTGCGACGCAACTCTCTCCGATCTCTGTGTTCGCCGGTGTTAAGCTCCCTTTGTTGCTCAATTTTCGCGAACAACAACTTCAACACCTCTTCTTCACTTTTCGGTAAATTCTCCACCATTTCTTGATTTTTATTTCTTGAATTGATTAAACTGAAGTGAGGACTTAATTGTTTCTTTGAATTGGATTGAGTTTATAAATTGAATTGAAATTGAATTCTTGAGTTTTGTTGAGATACTTTAATGATTGAATTGATGATGATGATTAAAAGTGGAATTGGTTGAATATTATGTGAATTCATGAGATTATGTTGATTCTTGAATTGATTATAAGCATTGAATTGATTTTACATAATTTCATGAGTTGAATATTCTTGAAGCATTTGTTCATGAACCGTTTTTTTTTGTGCAATTTCGGTATGAATTTTGATTGTGCATTTTGATGTTGTTTACGTTGATTTATGTCGAATAATGTTGAGTAATGTTGAGTTGTATCGAGTTAAGGAACCTCGAGGAGAATTTAGCTTGATTTCATGAGTTAATGTAACTTTACATCATTTTGTTGATAAATTTGATTTTACGACATTAAAAATATTTTGGTTCAATAAAATTGCATTAACTCATGAATTATGTTGTTATGATTGGAAACTTGTGCTTTGATGTGAATCCATCTTTTGTAACTTGTTTACAAACTCTTAGCGATATTACTCAAACCGATAAGCATGTTTTTGCATTCATTTGCAATTGTTGAAAATGATTTTTATCTGTATTGGTTCAAGTATGCATCATTGTCCGGAATGTATAAACAAAGTGCAAATCACTTTTAAAATTTGTTTGAGGTGTAATTGATCATATTAGGACATTTATGGATGGTTAATGTTAATTTTTACCGTTTCCGATGTGATTTTCTGAGTCAATTTGTGATACGGTGTAGTGTTGTCCGGTTTTCAAATATGCACTTGGAACTTATTTTAATTGTTGGCTTTAGTTCCGTTGCTTTTTTTTGGCATTTCAGTGACGATTATGTCAAGTTTTACCGAGTTCAAAACAATTTTTTGTGTGATGATGTGATACGGTGTAGTGTTGTCTGGACTTTGAAAATGCACTTGGTTTGAGTTTTATTTTGCGGTTCACATGTTTCTAGCTTTAATCGGATAATTGAGGAGTATTGATGTTAATTTCGATTAATTTTAAGACAACTTTTTGTACACTTTAGAATTGCATACAGTGATGTCTGGTTTTCTTTATAACATGTGCATTCAGTTTTAACATTCATATGATGCATGCTTGCACTTTATTGGTTGATTATTGGACGTTGTTGATGATTTGGCTTGATTTCGATGCATTTTTCAAGTTAATTCTTTAAATGACGGAGGTGTTGCCCCAATTTTGTAAAGTGTACTCGAAATGAGTTTTAATTGTTAGTTTATGCATCATTGCACTTGTGTTGGTCTTTATTATACGTTTCCATTGAGTTGTATTGATTTCGGACTGACATTTCGTGTGATTTATGTTAAGATGCACATGCTGCCCCGTATTTGGTTTTGCGCTTTCGTTATCTGTTTGGTTTCACTTTATGCATGATAATACGCCATTTTGAGTTGTGATGTTGATACTCGAGTTACATTTGATATTCCTTTTTATTTGCTAACTCTTGTGACATTATGCAAGTTTTAGAAGGCTAATCATTGCGACGCATTTGTTCGGTTTTTACTATTTGCTTGTGTAGCATTGCTTGGTGCAGGACATTAGCTTGGAGCGCGCATAGCTTGCGATTTATTTTCACATTGCAATATTGGATGATTGTATTGGATATTGTATCTGATTTGATTTGTTGTTGATGCTATCTCGCTCGAAATATTCCATATGTCTTGGCTTGTACTTGTTGTATAACAGACTCTTATCCGTTTTGGTACATTTATGATTTATTTTTATGCATTTGTTTACCGCTTTTCTGATGCCATGAGAAGTAGAAATAGAGATACATAATTATTTATCGCTTTTCTGATGTCATGAGAAGTAGGATAGAGATGCATGTTCTGAGAGTCTCTTTGAGACAAATCTGGTTTATTTAAAGACTTGTTTAAGGAAATTATGTTTGTGTTTGGAAAAGACCTTAAAAGGGGCGAATCTTGTCTGTTTACATTTGTGCAAAAGACCTCTATGAATGTGTCCCATTCCTATTCCCCATTGATAAGTCGTCATAGAAGGCGAGTGGAAAAGAGTCTGCAATTGACCCCCACACATTCTAGTCCATGTCGTTCTTAGCTTACATTGTATGTTAACGCTCTGAACCGTGCTTACTATTTTTTAGAGTCGATCAGATGAAAAAGAGATTTGTAACCAATCCCCCACACTTTATCTTCATCTTGCATTTTTGAAACGTTAACGCTTTGATGTGATCTCATTATTACCTTCTATCTCTTACCTCGATTTTTTGATATCTTGGACAGGTGTTTAGTTGCTTATGATAATTCACTTTCGTTCTTCTCCTGCCTCAATTATTTGATATCTTGGTTAAGAGTCGACACCCTTTTTCTTTCTTGTCCTGATGATTTGATATCATGGTTAAGAACCATTATTCCCCAATTTCACTTGCCTCGACAATTCAATGTCTTGGCTAGGCATCCCTTTAACCTACCTTGATGATTCGATATCATGATTAGGTGCCCTACTTCCTTTATCCTACCTCGATGATACGATATTGTGGTTAGATATCCCTCTCCTTACCATATCTCGGTGTCATGATACCTCGGTTAGGTGTGTGCTACTTGAGCGAGTGGATACTCCTCAAACTTTGTTTGTTTGTTTTGGTTTCGACGTTGTGTGATCGCACTTGTGTGCATGTTTCCTTAGGTTTTGAACCTTTGTCATATTCCCTTAGGATCTCTCGATTAAACATTTGAAGGCGAGTCAAGATAGATATTAAATTGTGAACCATGCATGCTAACTTAGTTAGAGGTTCCCCTTTTATCCTTAACCTTAGGATCATCATTGTATGATAACATTAGAGATTGGATTTAGGATAGTTCCTCTTAAACTTTTTCTTCTCTTTTGAATATTTTAAAAGTGAGACTCTTTTCTTTAGAAAATTCATAAAACACTCTAATTTTTCTAAACCCTTTTTCAAAGTAAAAAATACTAACTAATGCAAATCATATTTGATCTTCATACTTTTTTTTCCTTTTGAAAACATTTTTAATAAATATATGCCATTTCAAATTCGAGCAAGTTGGAAAGAGCAAGTGTGCGAGTGATCGAACATGAGTCTCTTATAAGCTGCAACACCAAACACGAGTTATAATCCTAACCGCAAGAATACGAACATGATATTATCCATAAAAAACATTACAACTCACCAAAATTATTGATCCAAACTACGACGCTTTGAGTCCTTAAAAGGGATACGTAGGGTCGCAGGGCCCAGGCAAGTGAAAATTTGTAAATATTTTCTTCTTTTCCCCGTATTTTCTTTTGCATGCATTCTCTCTTTGTATTTTTTCTTTTAGACCTTAAACTTTAGACGTGAACACACCCTTTGATTAAAACAATAATAGTGAATCCCGTGAAATACCACAGACATGTGAAGTGCTAATATCTTTCTCTCACATAATCGAATCCCTTACCCATATTTCTCGGTCATTTAGTCGTAATTTCACTCTTCTCAGATTTACTCGATGTTTACATTTCCCTTCCCGTGAGATAAAAAACGTTCAATGGCGACTTCATTATTTTTTTGATGATTTTAACCAGTTGTTTCAAAGTGTAGCACTAGATCCAAAAAAAGTTCTTGTCATTTTGGAGTGGCCTCAACCACGTTTACTCACAACCCTCACCGACTTGTTACGATCCACTAAGTTTACATGGAGTCCAGAAGATTCTACCGCCTTTACATATTTAAAGCACAAGATGACTGACATGCCAATTCTTACCTTACCAAATTTTATAAAAACTTTCATAGTGAAAATCGATGCTTTTGAGGTTGCTATTGGTGTTGTTCTTTCTCAAGATGGCCATTCCTTTACTTTCTTCAGCAAAAAGATGTGTACCCGTTTGCAAGCCTTGCCCGTTTATGTTAGGGAAATATATATTGTCACAGAAGCACTAAAAAAAATTACGTGAGTATCTTATCGGACAATATTTTCATATTTAGACGAACCAAAAAAGCCTTCGCAATTTGTTACTACAAAAAATTCAAATATCCAAACAACAAAGGTGGACATCTAAACTACAAGGTTTCAATTTCGAAATCTTCTACAAACCTGAAAGATCTAATTTGGTTGTTGATGCTTTGAGTAGAGAATTCAGCCATGACACTTGTTTGTTGTTCACTCTCTCCTCCTCCGTGCCCGACATCATCACCAAGATCTAGAGATTTTATGCACAAGAACCAGCGGATCATAATTTGGTCAACCAAGTCACCAATCCCAACACTACCTATAAGGTGTTTGCCTTCAAAAAAGGACTTTTGTTTTTTTAAGACAAAATCTTCATACCGGATATCCTTGGCTTCCGAAGCTCCATTCTCTTATAATACCACACTACCCAACGCCTGGACACTCCGGAGTAAAAGCCATTGTTGCCAGAATCTTGCAGGATAGACTCTCAACTGGACTGAATCTTTGGCATAAAGGTATTCTTAGAAGCAACCATCAAGCTTCTTGTGTGTTTTATTTCGATCATTTCGAAATGCATAATCATTTATTCTTCTCTTGATGCTTTGTCAAATTTGTTTGGAATGCAATTTTCGTTTGGGTTAATTGGTTTCCGGAGTCGTGGGTAGATGATGAAGTTCGAAACTTTGCTTCTTTCAACAACTTCCTCAAAGGAAAGGAACTAAATTGTGCAAATTTTCTCACGTGTTTTGGCTTTCTGTTTGCTGGAACATTTGACTTAAGAGGAACTCTATTCTTTTTAATGGGAAGATAGCAAACTGGTCAAACATACTTCTTAGATATGAATATATTGTTTAGGTGGAAAGAATAAAGCCTTTTTTCAATGATTACCATAATTATCCAACTTGACTCTATTTTATGTATGAGTACCTTGTACTCAATTTAATTCAAATTTCTTACTTATCAAAAAAATATTTTTTAATCAAAGACACGGTTAATTTGACTGAGCGTTTAAATTTTAAAAGGAGTGTATATCTGAGGGTCAATCACATCTTATCCTTCACACATCAAGAGATCGAAAAATACGAAACCACAATGGAGGTCTCTCACCAACTAATGAACGGGGCAGTCACAACCCTTTCAACAAGTCAAAACAAACCAATGTCACGCGATTTGTTCCAAAAAAGAAATGCAAAATCAAAGAAGAAACGAAGAAAGCTCAATAAGTCGATAATTGAAAAACAAGTGACTTAGACAAAAAATAGCACATCTCGGTGTACTGGCAATTCAAAAAGACCAGTCTAGAAAAAAAATAAGGGAAAGCGAAAAGAACAAAAAGCAAAAAGAAAGGATCACAAAATATAAATTCTCAATAAGAACAAATTTGTGTGACTACGAACACAAAGACAAAAGGGGTGACTGTCACTCCAAAAAACCTCCTTGGTTCTGTAACCATCACAAATATCCTTTTGAGAGATGAGCGCTTGTGCCAAATTAGTTTAATGGATGACTAGAAAACATCAAGGAGAATGAGTGGGTTAAAATAAAATTTGAACCATAAATCCTTTTTTTCTAAAAACCGTGAACCAGACCACGTTACAACCATCAAAAGACATAATTGAAGAAGGGTTTATTTCGAAAGCATACCACAACGAGCTTGCGTTGAGCTGACTCCCAAGAGATTCGCTAAACATTTGTTTTGGTATCGTATGCTCACATCACCTTTCGTACTAAAAAATTGATGTTGCACTCTAATCAGTAATTCGTTCACAACATCATTTCAATAAAAACTTTGACTTTAAGACTGACATAAGCATTGCATTAGAATTATCATTCTCAAAATAAATATTTTTTGCTTATAAACAAGCACTTGACATCAAGAAAGCGTCCATGATGAACATCAGTTAAAGAACTTAATCATCCTGAGGGACAAGTTGCCTTAAAACTCAGTTGAGTAGGGGCAAGTCATTTTGAGGAATGATCACAATAAGGGGTGGATCGTCTAAAGACGTCATTGAGCAGTGGCACGTTGTTTTCAAATGATCATAAGGGATAAGTTGTCTCAGAACTCTATTGAGTAGAGGAAAATCATTTTGAGGAATAATCACAACAAATGTATAAGTTTCCCGAAGACTCCGTCGAGTAGGGGCAAGCCACTTTCAGATGATCCTGAGGGACAAAATGTCTCGAAGCTCTATTGAGCAAAGGAGAAACATTTCAGAGATAGATTACCAAAAGACTCCGTTGAGCAGGGAAAAGTTGCTTTAAAAATGATCACCCTAAGGGGCCAAGCAAAGAATATATGCCATCTAAAGGTTCAGTCAGAATCTGGGGAAATCATGTTGAGATTCAACAAATCTCTCCAAGAGTCGGGTAATTAGAGGGAGTCACGCAAGGGTCGTTAAAACCACTCTCAGTGTCGGCTAATCAAAGGTCCAAAATTCAAAATAATGTGGCAGGCTATTTAAAGTCATTATGGTACAAGGTTTCCAGAGGTCCTCTCAAGGCAAATTTCTCCAAAGACCCTACAAATTGGGAAAAAGTATACTATACAGAGGCAATTCTTCCACTTCAAAACCGCTCAAGCAAGTTTTGTCACACATAAGCAACCTTTGAGTTCAAAGATAATGTCGGAAAGGCATGCTAAGCACATCCCATAACTCTCCAAACAAAAATTCTTGGGACCAAACAAAACACTTCCCTGTGTCAACCATACACAACCCACC